TATATCACAACTTCTATCTTATGATATTAAAAAAATAATCCGTTTAAAATAACAAATGCATTTGGCGTTTGTTTAGCAATTGTCAATAAGTTAACTCGGAGACGGGAGATGTGAGTGGGGCAAGCAGCGGCGATAGTGAAGCGGCCGACAGGGTGATGGCGCGGTGGCGGCGCGGCGCACTCGGCTCGCGGCTGAATAAATTCGGAGGGAGGCGCGCTGGAATGCGGGAGGCGGCGCGCGGGGGGCCGGGGCGCCGTGCGACTGGCGCGCGCGCCGCTGTCCCACGGTCGCGCTGCCCCCGCCGCCCCTCGCCCTCTCGCCGCATCGCGCCGCGCCCCTCTCGCCTCGCGCCCCGGACACTTTCTTTCGCGCCATAAAGGTCGTTTCAAATATTTCGGAATGCCGCTCGGTGACATTTCACCCGCAACAGAGGGGAGGAATGTAGCCTCCAGCATTTTACCGCGTGCCGAGCTCGCGGGTAGACCGGTGGATCTTCGGTGCACACGTCCCGGCGCGAGCGCGCAATAGGCGTCGCGCCGCGCCGTCCACACTGCCATCGTCCAGCAGCGATAACCCGTGCTGGTCGGACTCGCCTCAGGAATGTAGCATCTTATCGCATGTCCCTTTATATTGATGTCAATCGTCTTAGATAATAGTGAATCTTATCGGTTGATACGTAACGACCGATTTTAGTAACGTAATTTGTCAGATGCGGGATGAGTTAGATGGAGCAGCGACGGGTGGGGAGGGGAGCGGGGCTGCGACACCGGAGCTGCGGCCGCTCGGTCTACTTTCCACGCTCATGTGTGAACTAAGTTTCTCCAATTAATAGATTCGTTCCAATAGCAAACAGGCAGTCGGAGAAAGCTGCAGCGGAGCGGGTCAACGTCCGACGGAATTCACACCGTCCGACCGGCGTGAACTTTACGAACAAATGTGGCGTAACGCTCTAAAATTTGAAAATCGTTCTTCGTGGCTAAGTGTTAGCTCCGACCGAAAGAAACGAGCGTGCATGCGACTCGCGGACTACGTGCGGGCGTCGTGCGGGTATCGTGCGGGAGCGCAAGTCGCGCGCCGCTATGAATGGAATGCGGCGTCGGAGGTTGCGCAAGCGTCAGGCGGCGGAATGCAGGAGGGCGGCGTGTGTGTGTTTGTGTGCGGCGGGGAGAGGCGCGGCGCGGCGGGGACGCGCTGCAGCCTGCTGCATCCCGGCCATTCACGCCGGCAGCGTGCGCTCGGCGAAATAACTCACCGTTAGAGGCACGGAATGTGCGGCCGGCTCCCCGCCCCCGCGCCGTGCGCGCCGCGCTAACGGCCCCGCGGCCCCGCGACCGAGCCCCACTGATAGTGACACATCTAGCGACCGCATCTCGGCTCCATACGCGCTTATACTACGGATTTGCATATTTATGTAACGATATCTTCGTAGGTACTACGAATTTATTATTTATTAACAAACTTGCAAACAGCCCCAGCTTCGCCCGAGTTTCAATGGCTTATTTAATTGCTAATGCTAAAAAAAGTTTTTGTTTATAACTAAGTCATAAAAAATACAGATATGCGATGACTGACTTTTTGTAGCACTTTTTGAAAACCACAGTTCTCTCATATATCATTTTTATATAACTCGAACGGGCTAGCCTACGTAAGGTAAAAAAAGATAATTTTAAGAAATACGCTTTTCATCTAAATTAGAGTTATAAAGAAATATATACAGTACTGTGGTATCGTCTAGTTTAAATCGTTCGCGCGGGTCTGCGGCACTGAGGCGGTGAGGCGGTGAGGCGCGCACTATCAATAGTTGGCGCGTCACCCGCCCTACATACTTGTCACGTCGCGACGCCGGCCGCCAGGACCGGGTTTCGTCACCTCACGCGCTCTATTCGTTTCTAAAAATCCAATATTCCTCCGCTACATCACGTTACTCTGCATCCCTAATGAAATACACAACTTCACAGATTGGTAAATAAGCCCTGGGTATATTGATGTTGTTGTCATCGCCGAAACTTTTTTTGATATCACATACATTTTCGAATTTCTCACAATAACATTCCAATTATAAATAATTTAATATATTATAATGTAAAATCCAAAAATTCGATTCTTTTAAAATTATGAATAGGTAGTACGCAAAAGTACATATTGCCAACACAGAGATGACATATTTGTCATTAACACAAGTGTAAACATGCTTCGCGATAAAAAAAGTAGCACATTTTGCGTTATTTCCCATAGTCGTCAGCAATTAGAACGGTTTGTGGGTGACACGTGTGGCCCACATCGGCGGCCACCGCGCGGCCGTCACGCCGCACAGCGCCACCTGCCGCCGTCGCCCGCCTCGACGTAACTCCTAAACACCACCGTCCACATCGTATCTTAACCCTAATCTAAGCTTGACAATAATCATTCGTCTATGATCAAATCGCTTGATTAACCTGACACTGAAACTTTAATGATTTTATGATCAAAGCTCGTTTGCGCAGTTATCCTTGCAACACGACGCATCTCATTCGGCAATCGTTCTACTTGTACATAAAGGCAAAGGCGATCGGCGTCAATAAACGAGTGGTATAATTGCGGCGGCGCCGACTCCCGCGCACCGCCCCAACATGGCCGGAGGCGCTCATTCGCACCATTTGTGGGCACCAGCACTCCGCCTCGCCTAATTAGTGCTCACTTGCGGTGTGGGTGAGCCCGCATTGCGCCGCTCGCCACTCTCCGGCCTCAGCCCTGCCACTGCCGCCGCCACCGCCTTCGTTAATTCTATTTAAGTAAACGATTGTGTCAAGTCACTATTTTGGTACGCTCTATTCACTTAACATTATCGATTATTTCTTCTGGCCGTTAATTTTCATCTACACCGACGTAACGTAGAGTTTCATAATAACCAACGCAAGCAACTGACTCTTGATTGTTATGCTATTATGAAGTAAAAGTATTTCATACTTTTCAACGGTATGTTGCCTGTCTGTTTCTACCTGGTGACATATTACTGGCTCGTGGCAACGCATTCGGTATTCTTCTGAGTGTACTTGCACCTATAATAAGATATGATCCGCTAACTAGATTGACTTCTTCCTTTGGAAACTTATATAATCTGCAGAGTGTAAAATGTAAGGACAATATTAACGAGTGGTATGTTACATTACAGGAGCACCGCGACCGCTGGTTCGCAGCGAGGCTACGACACGCGACCTGAGTCAGCATGATGTCATGCGTGCGGGGCGCGAGGGGCGGCGACTAATGGAGCATCCCGGCAGCGTCACGTCACGTCCCATTCCCGCCGCATACTTCACCCAATCGAGCGATGACAAATCCATTCATATTCCTCTATCCTATTGTGCCCTCATACTTGTTTAGACACTTACTCTAGTTCATAAGCAATGGTTATCGTTGTCACAGCCACCATTGTTTGAATGATTCTTTATAAGTATTAAGTCTCGCAATGAAATGAGACGAAGAAGCAACTCAAGAAGAGAGAAGAAAGAAGGAATTACGAAACTGGTTTTCATAATGATTTGACAGATTGTTCAAATTCTGAGATCATTGTGAAAGCTGTTTTTTTGTTCCTGTCTCAACAGATGAAGATACTAACGTGCGCTACGACATGAAAACAACAAAAAAGAAACATTTCTAACAAAATAACATTTCTGTTATTGTGACTCGTACTCATAGATATCCATTTACTATTTATTAATTCGCAAATGGGTATTTTTATACAATTTTGCATGAAAGCGCATATAATTACCTAGAACTGTGGAAATATTATCTTTGTTTCTTTGTAACCGTATACAAATGCATAGTAGACAAATACTTTCCAGGTAGGCGCCAACAAAAATATCACCGACGAAGTAAAAACACTCAGGCATTTGAAATACTTTTCAATATTTTATAATGTGCTAGCGTCATGTACCTACATATTAAAAATAACCGTCCACCTCCAATAATAATGGCAACCCAGTGTTTCCCCGTCCACCTTATTTATTTGTCGATTTTAGCTCATTTAGAATAACCGATCATATGCGAAATATTGTACATCGTAAATGTAAAATGTTCATAGTGTTATATTATATTTGAAGGCGTTTGTGGATTAATTCCAAAAGAAACAAAATTTTAAAAGAAAACTGAAGAGTACCTAAAGCGCAAATATACGAATGTGAGGAAGTGTACCAGGATCACATAACAGCCAGGATAACAGGTGCTAGTTTCCACGATTAGATAAGTATGCCCAATAAATATTATTCATAGGGTGTTTATTTTTTCACTGGGTGGGTAGTTTTCAGTTCTGATAATGAGTACAAAAAACTACCCATAATTTACTTAGAATGTTTCTATTATCTTCTATCTAATTCATCATAAGCTTAAGATACGAGTTGAAAGCGAAGCTATTAATTTTAATATTAACTATCGGCCTAATAGGCATTTATTTTTTGAATTTTACATCGACTGAATAAGCGTCAAAATAGAGGACGTAACAAGATATACACAGAACCTTCGACGTCTTTATTTCAGCTTCCTTGTGATATAAAAATAAGATTATTTTAATAACAATGAAAATAAAAATGTTTTAATACAATTATAAATCGTTTTATTTGAGACCTATGATATCAATGATAAGGACGGCCTTAGTAATTGCCAGACAACCAAGTTAACGGTATTATACGGCATGGTATGGTATTATAGTAGATTTTTATTTTCGATACATATTTTAGTTATAAAAATAAGCATATCACGTTTTTGTCACATTTTAAAATGATTTAAATAACACTAAAGTTATTAAATTACAAACAAGCTATTTTATAACGTATTTTTTTATATTTATAAACAAAATCATTTGACTTGGTGGTCGGTGGGCATGTCAAACTAAATTATGTGAGCTCACTAGCGCCCTCTGTCAATGTCAAAAGAGTATCTCAAGCAACTCCTCGTACCGTGAAGTGCGACAATTCTATCTGTGTCGGTAAGGGAGGCTTTGTTATTACGATTAATTATGCTAAAATAAATGAAAATCCTACGAATATAAAGAATATGGTATAAAAACATAACAAGACAGCACGACAAGGATCTTGTAACATGAATTTGGTGTAGGTGAGATGTCATAGTTTTTTATCTTTTCTGACAGAACTAAGTACGACAGCAGCGCCGGGCCAGATAATTTTGTTGCACTATAGGCCAACTATAGGCATTTAATAAGATATGATATGTATAATCTGTAAATATTTAATAAATACTCTTTGACTTGACAGACATTCAACTGTAATGTCAATGCCACTGTCATTGTAATGTGCCATTGTAACAAGCAGTAACAAGTGTTAGGTTAGTGTTAGGATTAGAACACAAGATATTTCATTTATGTTGTGATTTGTTATACAGTAAATATTTCAAAGGTGCAACATGGATAATCCGCAATTTGACGCCACTTTAGGTGGTGAAGAACACCTACCATTTTCGGTAAATAGTTTTAAATTTACCGCTTCACGAAGCATTGAAATTGCAGCAATGTCTGAAAGTATTCTGCGCCCAAGTAAAACTAAGTTAATTTTCCAAACTCTCCCTGTCCATATGAGGCGTAGGGTTATGAGTCATAATTGTAAACGACTGCCGAGAAGGTTGAGGGAAGGGCATTTGGAGCAGTTAAAAAAGAGTGGACTGCCACCTAAACAAAAGAGGCCATCTAGAAAGTATAGACGGCGTCCTGCGAATTTATTAAACGAGTATAACAGAAGACAAAAGAGAAATATTTGGCTAGAGACACACATTTGGCATGCTAAAAGATTTCATATGATTGAACGTTGGGGTTACCGTCTTGCAGACCGTCCCTGTGATAAGGCATTTCGTGCTTGTTACCGAGCGAGTTCAGCACACTGTTTATTACAAGATGTTTCCTATTATACACCAATACAGATTACTGGACCTATTGAACTCATAGGGGAGATATTTGATTGCATTACAAATAAATCATGTGGACTAAGTGTGATTGCCAAAGCCTATACTGGAGGAAATAGAAGAGGAAATATTGATATATACAATCCAAATGCTTATCCATTTGGCTATGTTGGTAAAATTCAGTTTCTTTGGATAACAAAAGAGAATTGCAATAAGGAATTATGGATGTTCATCCATCCTTCTCAAATCAAACAAATAGAGATACTTTTATCAAACTTAATAAATCCTAATTCAGAAAATTTACCCACAGAGCACATTGAAAAAAAGAGAAAATTAACAAACAAGTTTTCTGATATAAAAATTAATATATTGTCCAAAGCCTTTAACATGTTTCGCTTAACTGGTCCTAAAAGTCAGGCCATTTTAAATTCTACCATAAAATGTATTAAAACATTAAATCAAGCAAATGATAGCTGGTTGGCACAAATAAGAAATACATCAAGTTTATATTTGGAAGAAAAAATTGATTACTGGGAAAATGCAAAGTTATCAAATTCACCTGCATTATTACCACCAAATGTGGTAATAGGGTTGATCATTAAAGACCCTCGATTGAGCAGACCATCATATCGTACTAAGGCGCAAAACAACAGCCCTGAAGATGTAAATGTAGTTAAATTAATTAACAGCCCATCCTACCTGTCACATTCTCCCATTTGGGACACTCGACTCCATGAACATATAAAGAAGAAACTAATGACCAATGGCCAGTTTATAGAACTTATAACGAAAACACAATTAGTGCCCGGAGAAATCAATGAGGATGATCCGGCATTGCAATATGTTCCTGTGGTGTTAATACAAAGACCTGGATCACAGAATCCTAATTCTAAAAAACTGGGTACTGTACAAAAGTTTACATTTTGGGTCAGAGATTTATTTTTAAATTTTTAATTTATTTACTTTTAATTAAAAATTTGTAATATTGCAATTTATATAACTACAACATGTAATAATTTACAGGTTATGGAAGTGGATGGGATATCATTGTACCTGCTGGCTATGGCATTCCATTCTGGCAGACATTGGTAATGTTTGGTGGACGAGCAGGCGGCCTTCGTGATACAGAGAGCATGGCTTTCGAAATGGGGGAGAATTTTCTACCACCTGACTCTGAAGCAGGAAGTTTAGAAGAGAAAAGAATAGAACAACAACTCAGAGAAAGATATTTTCGTCGACCACCAAGCAAGAGGGTAAATTATCAAAAGTTGGGGATAAACAGCCCTTTCATCTGTCCATGGAGAATATTACTGAGTGATTGGAGTGGAAACAATGTAAATGATTTGTATGTGATGAGAGATAGAAAACTTTTAGAGTTATTACAGGTCAGGACAATAAAATGAAATAGATTTATAGATAAAATTATTATCATTCTATGAAAAATATACTCAGACTTTTAAATGATCTTTATTTTTATTATTTTAGGATTGTTTGACTAAAAAAGCAGTTCCTAATATTGATAATGCTGATGCATGTTTGGTCCCCGTGTGCCTGCATATGGAAAACAAGGGTAATTTAAAACAACATGCATTGATATGTCTACCACAAAGTGATGATCTCCAAACAATCAAAACTCTGTATGAACCACTGCATGAAGATAAAAATGAAAAATTGAGGAAACAAAAGAGAAAACAACACTTGCAGTTGTTGAAGCAAATGAAAAGAAAGAGACGAAAAATTAAAAAATCAGGATGTCAGGTAACATATCTTTGAAATACATCTTTTTTTTCTTGTAAATATTTCTACAATAAATCTTTCATTCACTCAAAAATTGATTTCAGATTAAAAATGTTAAGAAAATAATCAATCGAGAACCTTCAGAATATGTAAAAAGTATGAGAGAACTTTGGCTACCATCAAATATAACGACGGTTCGGAACACATGTTTAAGACCAGTGCTGGGTTATGTCTGCAAAGGAGATTTTAGTTTTACTGAAGCAAAAAGTGTTGGTGTTGGTTACATTGCTTTAAATGGTTTGATTGAACTTATAAAGACTGGATTAAATAAAGTACTTATACGAAATACTTCATCGCGTAAATATCGTATTGCAAAAATAGTTCTGATCAAGACTGAGTGAATGTTTAAGAAAAATCTTTTCTCAAATGTATCCTTTTTGTATATAATTGTTGATATGTTATGATTATGTATGAAATAAAAAAACAAATTGTTGAAAAATTATTTAGTCATTTATTTTTTAACATTCTAAATAACTCTTCTACTAAACTTATGCATTTAGGTTAAATTATTTAAACTTTTGTGAGATATTACCATAAACTAACGAAGGGATTCTGATGACGAAACTAATCCGTGCCGATACAACTACGTCACTGTTTAGCCGTTTATATATTTATGACAAGCTGACCTGTCGCAATCTAGCCTTAACAAGTACAGATTAATATAAAATAGACACTAAAAAGATTTAGTCGTCGAGATATATATTGAAAAAAATAAGTTATATTGCGTATATGGAATATTCTAAACATTTGTCAGAATCTAAAGGAAAGCTTAGCAAATCTGTCTTAAATACACAAATCTATTAGTCCGAAATTAAGTTCTTAATTCTATTGAACAGCTTATTGGCTAACTTTTTTTTTATTTACCACTACAAACAGCTTTGATGCATAAACATCGTTGCAACATTTAACAAACATTTGAAGCAATTATTTTTTTCAGAATACTTTTTTACACATTAAATAGTGATGGGTATAGTACAATAGATTGATAAAATTGTTGATTAATTATTATCAACATGTCCCTGACTTCCAAATGAATTGAACGAACTTTAGTCTTCCTAACAGTGAGGTACTCTCAAGTTTAAGTAACTTCACATGTGGAATTTACAAGTCAAGTTATAAATATAAAAATAGCTTAATTTAACAGCATTCGAATACATGTACGTAGCGCTGAGAGTAACGCGATAACAACTATACAGCGGATCTAGGAGAAGCATCTTTACATTAGCCATGTTACATTCCAATCGTGAATGCCACCCAATTGTTATTTGTCTTGGTAAATTATAACAATTCGACAAATTGCATATATAGATCGGTCACATAGTGACATTATATTTCAAGACTTTATAAAGGTGACACTTTATTGGCAGAGGTTTTAGATTCAGACAATAGTGTCGTCGCACTGATGGGAAAGTGATGACAAAGCAGTGATAACAACGGTATAAAAGACCAAAATGTAGAACTGACCATGCGACATTTCTAAAGATTGTGATAATTTCATTACATATTGGACTTTTGTACTAGTGATGTGTTACTTTGCATTGTCAGCAGGCATCAGTGGGGCAGCCTGCGCCAAGTCCTGTAGGCGCTGGTTATATATCTAACACGTCCCTATATCTTCGAGCGCTTGCGGGCGATAGCATCCTCGACTGCCTTCAGCTGCTTGAGCAGCTCCTCACGCCGCGACACAGACTTCTTGGCTGGGACACCTTCGTTCGGGGGCGACACTGCTGAACGTTTCCTACTCATATCTGAAAAAAAAAACAAAATGTTTATTACTTGGACACTTCATAAACAACAAGTACTATAATTATATTATATATGTATTCCTATTTTAACATAATTTCTTTTGTTTTTATGTCAATCATAAAAAATCATTAAGTTCTTTACCTTTCTCACCGGGTACTTCTTTTTTACTGACCGCTGTTGAAACTGCCGCAGCTAGACCTGCGCTCGATTTTGTATTCATTCTATAAAAAAACACTTATATTATCATAAATTATAATATAGTACATCTTTGAATGACTTTTTCCTTTATTCAATATCCATTATTTTACTTACTACATATAGCAAATTACAATACTGAAGTGTGTACTGTACCTGGGCCGTGCGGCGGCGTTGAGCAGTCTGGCGTGACGAGCGCGACGCGCGCCCGAGCTGCCCGATGTTGACGACGAGTGGGACTCGCTCTCAGATTCGCTCGACGACGACGATGATTCTAACAAACATTAATTACGTTATATACATATTTAATAATAGTAAAAAATATTAAAAGAATTATTCACTATGAAATAAAATGTTCTCACGTAACTATGGCAATATATGTCAATATTCACGTCATTTAAGACATAACCACGTGTAAAATACCAACAAAATGTATAATTTCTTGGGAATTTTCTCAAATGAATATTATATAGTTTTACCTGATCCCGATGACGACGATCTTGAATATTTCTTTCTGTTCCTGTTGCGACTCGACGCTTTGCTTCGACCATACGCATCGGTCTCCTCCTGTCAACATCAAAATGGTACATTACATGTCACTATGTACAGTTGAGGTTCCAAAAGGGGGCGGGGCACTTAAATGAGATCACGTGTATTAAGTTTCTGATGTAAAGAAAATTTAATTAACAAAATTTTTGTAGTTTTTTGAACTAAAATTTCTACTTTGAATCGTGATTCTATTTTACATGTTATCAGAGTGGTAGGGGTAAAAAGGTTGTAGGTGTACCTTGTGCCGGTGCGAGGCGGGGGGCGGCGGGTTGACGGCGAGCTGTCGTGCTGCTGCGGGCGAGGGTGCACGGCGGCGCGGCGCAGGCGGGTTCATGGCGGTGGCGCGCGCTGTCGCCAGCCGCCGCTCGCGTACTATCACCGAGGGCGACAGCCTGCGTACCAACACATTAACTATATACTATTGTAACACGACCTTTCTTACCCTAAATTTCCACCAACACTCGTACTTCATTCTTTATAAAAATTCAAATATAACAATATGTTGTAAAAGTGTTTTAAAACCAAAAATCCACACTCACATACAAAATATGTATCGAGTTAATAATTTTTTTTAAAGAAAACATCAAGGCACTTATTTAGCCAAATCTTTTTCAGAATTAAAAATATTAAAACTTATTCCTAATCCATTTTCATTATTACTTGTAGTATTTTACATAAGAATGAAATGAGACCCGATGTAAAATTAGATAACACATAGGCCAATTACAAAAAAAAATTGTTAGTAGGTTAAACACATGGCTATCATACAAAGCAGAATTAGTATAAAATTATTAACATTAGTCAGAATTTTTACAACATATTTGATTTATACAAATATATGATTTTTATATCAAATTCATTAAAACCAAAACTTTATTAAAAGTTGATACCTAGGTTACAAATTATTAAACCACATAAATTATTAATTTATGTAAAAACATACTGTTTGTATGCCAAAATTAAAATTTGTAAAGTTCTAAGAAACATATGTACATAATATATTACAATGTTAATACAGTTCTACAATATATCATCTTCAACTATTCTTCGTCTTCTCTTCTCCAGTAGGCTTGCTTTATAAATCCACCAAACACTAAATTGCACCGTTACTTCATAAGTTTTTATTTTTTTTAAAGTAGTATCGGCAGAACACAGCATCAGCTAGGCCAACTCGCGGCAGTTTGTATAATATTGTAATACTGCCTACTACTAGGAGCTACCTTGCTTATCAGGAATTCCACTTATATTAAATTAAGTCTTTTTCTTGACACCGAATCACATTGTACATGAATTTTACTACGCGTTATAAAACTGTATTTACAGAATTATAAATTCACTATCTTTAAACGTTATTATAACTATACACAATATATTTATCTAAACTAAATAACAACATTAGTACTTGGTTAGTGTCATAGATAACTTGGTAAGAGAATTGATATCAATGATACCAATCGAGTTACCTTTGTCGAGAGGTAGAAGATGCCCTCCTCTTGCGGCGACCGCCCGCCGAGCCCGAACTACGCGAGCTGGAATTTGAAGAGCTGTGGACTCAAAGGGACGCCGGGGGAGGGGGGCGCACACACAGACACACACGCACGCACGCACGCACGCACGTCACCACGCACACTCGGCCATTAGCGAACCCCGATGATTTAATATAATGACATAACATGCAATAGATGAAGAGCAGCGATGATACCCGTCGAGATTTGAACACCGCAACATAACGACAGTAGAATGAAAGCGAACCCAACGGCCAGAGGAAGAGGGGCGAAGCGTAATGGAGCGATTGCTCCAATTAGTATCATTTTAAAAAACATAAAAAAATTGAAATAAAAATAAAATTATTAAAAATAATAGTAAATAATTAATACGATAATTTGAAGAATTTTACATAACTTTTTAGAATCTTAAAAAATATACTCAGTATCTCCAAAATCATCTTTAGAACAAAATGTTATCCTTTTTTAATATATTGTTTTTATAAAATTGTATATCATCAATGAATGTATAATAAAATATACTTTGTCATGCTTTCCAAAATTTATTTAGAAAGATCAATTCGTTTTCATTAACTTCAATAACTATCGCAAACTAAACATTTCATAGATATTTCAAAAGAACTTTAATATAAAAGAAAATAAAAATTGCATAAATAAATAAAAATAACTTTTCAAATACATTTCACAGAAATACGTGAAATATACAAATCAAATACACGAGTTTCAAAATACCTATAGGAAAAAGAGAAGACGATATGATGAATGCAGCTATAAATATTACAGCAATTAGTGAAATCAAGTACTGGCATAAAATATGTTCTCATGAAATATCTATATTTCATATCAGAAGCATTATAATGCTTTCTAACTGGCAATGAACTATTTGTAGCTACAATGTCATGTCATAAATCATCTAGGTCCAATTGTGATAATGATATATAACATTACCTAGACGTGCTGTAGGAGTCTTCCGAGGAGGGCGGGCGGCGGCGGCGCGCGGCGGGCTCGGCGCGCATCCACGGGTCCGCCCAGTCGTCGCCGCGTATCTCCCGCCCCTCCCGCATCTCCCGCACGCGACCCTCCCGACCCTCTCGTCGCTCCACCTCCGCCCGTTGCACTATTACTTCTCTCGACGAACGCACACGTCTCTGCAATTATAGCAATTGTCATATATGGCGGCTCAGAACACTTTAAGAGCAGATCACCATTTTAAATTTAGAGTGGCAGAGCTGACCTTGTGCCGCTAAGACACTTATTTGATATATGTATACCTTGTGGAAGGGCAGTTCGTCAGTGGCAGCGGTGCGCTCGTCGTAGTGCGGCGGGCGCTCGTACATGCGCTCGGTATCGTAGATGCGCTCGCGCGCGTAATACCGCTCGCGCTCATCCGCCGCCGCACGCGGGTATCGCCCGCGGTACACCGGCCCGTACGCACGACTGAGAATAATACAAATGTTTACTTTAATTATGTTTCTTGTCACTTTCGTGTCAAGGGGTAACCTAGTAGTGAGCCGTACATTTCTGGGTCCCTGTGCACGGGTACGTCGTGCTGGTGCGGCGGGGAGGCGCCGACTGCAGCTGCAGCATACGCGAGCTCGGCGTCGGGGTCGTGCACCACGCCGCCCACCGACAGGTGCAGCTTCTTCTCTTCAAAGTCCATGTCTTGTTCCTTGCGTTTGTTCGCTATCCTCAGCATCTGATTACAATTGTCAAATGTGAGATATTTTCTATTATTTATACTGATGAAATATTTAAAATGATTAACTGACCTCGTTCACTACATTATGCGTTTCAAACGTTAACAAACATATAAAAAGACAATGTGTATCCAGGCTATCCAGCATCGGCAGAGACTGACAATGTACAGTGGAATATAAAAAGACGTAAAAACCTCTTTAGCAGTCCGTAATCCTCTTTCCCAAGCTGACTCCGGTGGTGCAACATCTCTGGGCGGTGCTGAGTACGGAGCCCCAGTGGGGACTCCACGGACCACATCAAACATGTTGTAGTTGCCTTTATCTGTCACCCCCGGGTGGAGGAATCTGAACACAAAAGTATATTACATAATTTTTATCTAACATTTCTTAAATCAATTTATTTTATCAATCTCTCATGCCTTTATAACAATACAAAATAGTTACAATGATATAAGAATTCATTATTAAGTATCATCTTGATATGAGAAATGTGAATGGTATAGAAGGCTCGGAAGCAAATGTCAGGTAATGTTACCTGCAACTAACGCCCCAGGTGCAGGCGCCGCGGGAGAAGAACCGACAGACAGGGCGCGGCTCGTTCTCCTCGGGGCGGCGCTCCGCCTCATCCGACACCTCGCCCTCCTCCAGCGACGAGCCACGAGACCGCCGACCCGCCTTTGTTTCTTCGCCACCTAATTTCATTAAAAATTAACTACTGATTTTTTTTTATTTCAAATCATATAGTAGATATTGTTTTCATAATTCTACAGTTCTATACATTTCAAATCTTTTTTTTTTAACAAAAATCTTGAACAACTAATAAGTATATCTAAAACTTACCTTTCTCATTAGCTTGGTCCACATCTCCATTTGATTGATCTTTGGGTTTTGATTCTACACATTCACCCTCCTCTGCTTCAAAATCCAACTGTTCTTCACCATCCTCAGTGTTACTTGTCTTTTCTTGTGGTACCTACATAAGGAAGGCAGAGTTAAAATAAGTTTTTAATCTCTTTTAAGAAATGATTTCTAACAAAAAAAAAGTGATTTAATAAAAAATATATTCTTACTTTATCCAATTTGGGTGTATCAGTCTTCCCATTATCAGATTTAGGTGATGATTGTGAACTTCTTCTTTTGCCATTAGCACTTATATCAAGTTTTCTGTCAGGTGATGCAGGTGACGATTTTGACTACAATATAAGAAGAATTTTTCTTATGTACAAGTTAAAAAAATTACTACATTTTACTTATAACATTTGGTCAATGACTTTGAATCTTTTCATTGACTGTTGTGAAATGTAAATATAATCCAACAAACATATCTTATTATAAACTATTGTAGTTTATTGTCAGTCATTTCTTGAAATGATTAGATGATGGTATGGTATCCATGCAATGATGCATTCATTTAAATCAGAAAAAAATCTCTATATGCAATGAATAATTATAATTTTAAATATACCTTTGTATCTTTATCTGCATCATCTGGTCCAACAGAATCCAAATCTGACACATCTGATAGATCCTCATGACTAATGTTATTATCTTTTCCATCAACTTTTTCACTTGCTGCAGACTTACTGCGTGAAGTTTGGTCCTCTTGATCTGATTCCATTTCTCCTGTAAGACAAGCATATTTTATATTTTGCATTGACTCTATGAACACTGATGATAGTTCTGTGTTAGATTACAATTATGTCATATTTTTCATTGATGGAATAAACATTAAACCATCACCACTTAGCAGGACAAGGATAAAATTACTAGTAAAATCATGACATCTATGTTTATAATTTGAAATAACAAACCTTCAGAAATTTCTTCAGTTGCTGGATCTTTAACATTAGTCCTCTTATTATATGATGAACTTCTGCTGGACTGGCTAGATTCTGATCTACTGCGACGCCGGGGAATTGAGACCATTTTTTGTTCTGCTTTTGTATGCCTCCTCCATTTTTCCTTCGGACTCCAATCAGTTTTTTTCATTGATGGTGATCTAACAGGTGATGATTGAGTAGAGTTTCTATCCGGAGAAGGAGTTGATGTTGGAGAACGTCTTACTGGGCTCTTCCTTGGTGATGCAGAATCAGGAGAAACAGGGCGTGACCTTGATCCTTGTGAGCCAGGGGCTGATCTTGCAGAGCTACTTGGGGATCTCGGCGTCTTAGGACCTTCTCCACCCGATGGCGGAGCTGAAGAATACTGTTCTGGTTGCTCTGGTGAACCAATATTTGATCCTATATCACTAGGAGACTTAGGAGCATCAGGCGATTTAGGACCTTGTGGAGATGCAGGCATTGAATTCTCAGGAGAATTAATATCAGAATGTGCCCCACTTAAGTTATCTGGGGAACTTGGTTGTTTATTAAAGTATGGTGATCTTTGATATGACTGATTTGCATGGGAGGGAGATCTCGGTCCATTAGATCTGCGCGAACTAGAATAATGTGATGGGGATTTGGGGCGTTTCTTAGAAACATCACTTCTATCTGATGAAGAACTCCTATGACTTCTGGAACTGGAACTGCTACTGCTTGAAGAAGAGTGTGCATCTCCAGTAGCATCATGTGAATCTTCAGAGTCCATCCCTGAGAGTAGATGCAAATTATGTATTAAGTTTATTAAATAGATACAAGTAAAAAGTCACCCAACCCAATCAAGCAATCCTTACTAAAAATTAGTAGTCAACTTGCCACAAATGTTCACACATTATGAGATAATTTCACAAACATGTTACAGAGTGAATCAGACAGATTTCACCAATAATATAGTTACAGGCCAATTTAAGCAAAAATGCATTGTAGCCTATATAGAAATCAATTAAAATTTATCAAGTAATATGTTTCAGTTGTAAAATTATAACTTATAGCATATGTATGCTACAAGTAATATGCTTAAAGATGGGCCTTAACTGTACTGTAGTGGTGGGCCATTACTGTCTTGGGTAAGCCGAAAATGATCTCTAAGGGGTTTTATTTTTGTAATATTCAGTTAAGAACCTTATGTATAGACAATATTTTCATATGAAAAACAAATATTCTTTCACTAATTTCAATGTTTAGCGAAGATAATAAACAAGTTATCTTGTGTCTCAACCCATAAAGTGGGCGTATCTGTCTGAACACCCGTAGAACAATGCAGCATGTACAACCTAATATCAAATTATAAAATGATGAAATCATTTTTAAATTTGTTCAATACTAATTTGCACAAAAAAGCTCCATATACTTACTAATTAGAAAAATCATAATTAATTAAAATAATAAAAACTGTAGGAATCGCAAAGTAAATAGTTATTAGAAAAAATCAACACAATCATATTCTACGCCATAAACTTGTGGCACTTAGTTTTTCGTCTTGTCATGAAAAATATCGATATTATTTTGAATTGTTTTACTTTAACTGTAGCAAAATAACACTCAGGTTTAAACTTTGAATCGATGTCACTTGTTTAGTAAGAAGTACAACGTTCTGATGTATATTGAAGACACATCCAGCCTTACCTTGAAGATGACGCCTCGACGCCAGAATCGGTGGCACTTTAAAACACTTTTCATTTTGTAAAGACTTTTAACTTTGTAATCACAACACAAACGAAACTTGGGTCTGTCACATATACTTGTGAACTTTAACTTTCTAATAACGATAAACTGACGAAAACTTATTAAAATCAACACTACTTCAACATGGCTGTGATATAGGAGGAAATATATATGAACATAATAAATAATCACTTTTCTTAACTTCAGTAGGGTTACCTTACGCCCTTACCTTATCTTAGGTGGATAAGACGATATAATTCTTGATGCAATTATTAAAAATAATTAAAAATTCTCCAGTTTGCGCCGCATCAAGCCTTTTTCATCGCAGCAATTTTCGACAAAGAGTAGAAAACTTGAGTTGATTGAGTTTATTGGTTATGGTTAATATAGATAAACTAAAATCCGATCAAAGGTTAAATGAGCACAGCAACACATATTTTATGGAAAACAAATACATGTATACAATAACATCTTAAAGAATCTTTTAAGTTTTGCGTACCATCTGAATTTTGAATTTACTTATTAAATCATTGATTTATTTTGAATTTTTACAATAAAAATTGGAGTGCTGCCAGTAGAAAAATAAAAATTATGGCAATAATTAAAAACAGTTTACCGCGCGAAAATTTGTTCGATGGTATTTATGCTTAAAATATACTTAATATAAAACAAAGATGATTGATCAAGCGCTCGATGATCATATTTCTGAAAACGAAGACGAAGAAAATTTATTTCAAGATGTAGATATATTACAAAAACACGGGATTAATGTTGCAGACATAAAAAAATTAAAAGGTGCGGGAATTTGTACGATCAAAGGCGTTCAAATGACAACAAAAAAGAAATTATGCAATATTAAAGGATTTTCGGATACTAAAGTAGAAAAAATAAAGGAAGCATGTCAGAAAGTTGTCGCACTTGGCTTTATGACAGCTTTAGAAGTTAGTGATCGTCGCAAACAAGTATTTAAAATTAGCACAGGAAGTATCGATTTAGAGTAAGTTTGTTGCGTTAACGTTGTTTTCAATCCATAAGGATTACAAAACTCATAAACTCAATAAAATAGAGTTGGAGTAGAATATCTGATGGTAAATAGTAAAAGTAGTAACAATGCTACTGATATATTTATAAAATACTATAAAGGACAGAGTAAACGTAGATGACCTTAAGTTTTCAAGAACCCGAAAAACCTCATAAGCTAAACTTTTATTTACTTGATTTGTTAAAAATGATTTCAGTAAACTACTAGGTGGTGGGATAGAGTCGATGGCTATAACGGAAGTGTTTGGAGAGTTCCGTACGGGTAAAACTCAACTTTCGCACACTCTGTGTGTTACGTCACAAATACCCAATTCATCAGGATATCATGGAGGGAAGGTCATGTTTCTCGACACAGAACACACGTTGTATCCTTTTTTATTGTACAATTTATTAATTTTATTAGTATCTTATGTATATCATATTTATTGAACATCTAGACAAGAAAGGAGTAATTTTAAAAAATAAGTACATTATGTTTGTCTAGTTGGAGTAAAACTAGTTTAACGAGGGAAATCCAAGTTTATAAAAAAATCAAGTTCAATATGGTTATTGAATGTTTTTACAAACTTGTTATTCACCTTGTGACGTCATATCGGAGTAGTTAAATTTGTGAAGCCTTCTCTAAAATTAAATTCAAAACACGTTGGGTCTTTGTTATAAATAAGCGTAGAAAAATATGATGTTCGAACGCAGAGACCTCAAGAATAACGAGGTCAATGCTATTACTTTTAGTTTGTAATTAGTTTTTTTGTTTCTAAAATCTTCAATGTCGTTGTAAAGTTTTATATTCCAAAACAATAGAATACCACGACCACACAGAAGACAGGCGTGAAGTGGAAGCAATTCCGCGTTTCGACTGATGAGTGTGTGTCCCGTCCCGGAGGCCTAATTTAGTCCTCTTTCCCTTCCCCCCTTTTTTCTTATAAGGGAAGGATGGGAAGTGGAAGTGGACTTTCCGGATGAGAGGATGCATGGGAATGGAAAACATTTTCTTTCTGTGCATCCTCTCCTCCGTCGATTAAAGGTAGGCAACGCATATGCAATTGCGTATGTCTATGGGCAGATTTCAGGTGTTATATATAAGATAAGTTATAGATAACTTAAAATAATAAACTTTCCTAAAAGGCTTACAGTCGTCCCGATAGATTAAGACCCATCGCGGACAGATTTAACTTGGATCAAAGCGCAGTTTTAGACAACGTGCTCTATGCTAGGGCATACACATCTGAACATCAGGTAATATACGAGAACTATGCGTATATTTGATATACCAAAATTAAAATAAAAGTAAATTAAAACTTTTACTTTATTCTTTACTGCCTGACTGATACGGATCTAGACCTAATCTAACGAACAATCAAGGAGAGTTCCTCTCATTCGATTGTATTATGAGCTCGGAGTGACAACGGTACTATTTTAAAAGTTTTAAATGGTATAGGCAGAATTGTTAGACTACGTAGCGGCGAAGTTTTACGAAGAGGCCGGTGTCTTTAAGTTGCTAATCATCGATTCTATAATGGCCCTCTTCCGGGTCGACTTCTCGGGCCGCGGGGAACTCGCCGATAGACAGCAGAAGCTCGCACAAGTTCTCTCCAGACTGCAAAAGGTATAAAAAAGTTGTTTTAAATACTAAAGTCATGATGTGAGGAGCTTAAAAAAAAATAAACTTGTTTTTAAAAATATAAAGTTCAAAGAATCGCGTCTATTGTAGCGTTACGCCTTTCATTACTTTTTAACACAATGATAAACGTATTGTAGGTACAATGAACTGTCTTACTAATATTATAAATGAGAATGTTTGGATGTATGGATGAATTTGTTAGAAAGTATTTCCAGAACGGCTGCATGATGAAATTTGGCATAGATAGAGAATAAAGCCTTGAAGAAGATATAGGCAACTAATTCGTTTTTTTTTTCCCGCGCGCATAGAGTCGCGGGCGACAGCTAGACTATAGATAAAAGCCACCCGATCTTAATATCGATAGTCACTTCCATTTTTTATAATCAGATCCTCGTCAAAACCTGATTAAAAAAAGATTTAATTAAATTTTATATTTAGTAAAAACGATTGAAACTTCATATTTGGTATATATGTTGGAAGATCAGAAGGTGAATAGATAAAATACATCCGGGAGTATGGTAGTTATGTCAGTGTCGGCTGTCGTTTCCATTTAGGGCAAGGATGGATAAGATAAATTAATCATTGCAACATTTCGTTTCGTAGACGAGTTTATAATTTTTTTTATAATTAATATACTAATTTAAATCACCAATATTCGCGTAAAATAACAAATTTTGTGTATTCATTCGTCTATCACATGAATTAACTCTCAGTGCCTATATTTTGTATTTGTATAACAATTGTAACAAGCTAATTTTTGCTAGTAAGATAATATGGACATGGAAATTCGTTTAGAACAAGTTCTTGACGTTACCTTATCGCCCTGAATTCTATATTTTCTGTTTGTACAGTTTATTTGAACATACTGTTACAAGAATGCATTAGTAATTAGTATTTACCAAAGGAGAATTTCTGCAAATGTGCAATATTTTTATTAAACGATAAATATTGCAGTTTTCGTAATTGAAAAACCATGTGACAGTAATTGATAAAATGTGTTATTTTAAAAACCGAAATTCTCCTATTAAGATTAAGTAAAACCTTGCATATTGATAGCGAATTGTATATGTTTCAATAGAAAAATTTACAATTGCAACTTTAATAATAATATACTTCAAATATCAATAATTAACAATAAAATAGAGCAGCTTACCCAGTTGTCTCCTTTAGCATATTGTTCTAAATAAATGTTTGTACCCAGATATCAGAAGAATACAATGTGGCAGTATTCATAACGAATCAAATGACTGCCGACCCTGGTGCGACCATGTCTTTTCAAGCAGACCCAAAGAAGCCCATAGGGGGCAATATTTTAGCGCATGCTTCGACTACAAGAATTTCTCTGAGAAAAGGCAGAGGTGAGAACAGGATCGCAAAAATCTACGATTCACCTGATCTACCTGAAAGCGAAGCAACATTTGCTATTACCAACGGAGGTGTTTCTGACGCCAAAGACTAAATATTATAAGTATAAAGAATGCGTCCTCAGGTGTCTGAATTTTGAGTTTTTATCGCTATATATTTTAAAATAAAATTTGTCAAACATCTACTTTTATTTCCTAATTTATTTATTAGTTCTAGACTGTCATACTCTGTATGACTACCAGACGATTTTAAACATAAACGAGCATATTATAATATATAAATAAAGCAACGAATGACCTCTTAATGATTTCTATAGATCCGATAATTTTAACAACCTCTGCGTGTGTAAGATGTGAAATGTGAATAAAATCAAAGTCCAAAACAACCGTGTCGTAGTCATAAATCGTAGTGGCGTGACTCGATTGAGCAGCCAATTAAGTTAGCGTCCTCGATTAGATAATATTGTGCATGCTTTTAAACATCATACGCTACAATGACAGTGACGTGACGTTATTCTATGTTAAGCAACATACTCAACTACTCTAATTAAACCAATGCACATAATTTACATAATAATGAACGCCAAATTAGGATTAGGTTTTGTTTTTCTTTTAATACAGTCTAAACGTATCGCCACAGCGGCTAAACCGATCTCGATAAAGTTTGGCACAGAAGTAGAACACAGTCTAGACGAACACAAATGCTAGCTAATATTCCGGAAATGTGTACGATACGTTTATTTTGTTTACTCAATGACCTCCCAACGATTCTACATATCTTATTAAAATGTCCCTAAGACGTAGAAAATAGTCCCGAATAACGCATGATATATTTTTCCTGATTTTTTTTTTATTTTTATCTCGAGCGAACAGAGTTGCGGGCAAAAGCTGGTGTAAATAAGTGATAGACACCGGGTGCAATCGCGGAATATGGCAATGTTTAATCATAAAAGCTACATTCGTTTGAGAATTTTTTACACGTTGAGAAGACGACGCGGAACAATAACCAATAGTTCGAAACTTTTAAACGTGTCAGTGAAAAAAGGTCTATCAGTGGTATACGACTAATTTATGCTTTTTATTATCATCCCGTCATTTGCGAAACTCATTGCTCGTTGTAAGAAACAAGGCAATTTGGCAAGGCAAGTGGAACACCGAGGATTTCCGCGACTGTATTTTGTCAGCCTTTATATGGCGACAGATTAGATAAGATTATTAGAATCCTGAAATATGTACTTAAAAATAAAACGAGAAGGCGTGTCATATAAAAAAGTATTTTAGCATTTTCTAAAAAAAATTATGCTTTTAAATAATCGTGTGAATGAAATGAGTCACTTCTCTTGCTATTTAAAATTCAAATGTTCTCATCGTTCATCATTCCTCCTGCGTCATTCAGTCAGTCAGTCATTTGAAATTGTCAAGAGTAGAAGTGTCGCTATTTAATAAAAAAAACATTATCGTTTTAATTAATTACTATATGAAAAACATTTTTACACATATATACCTTAAGAAAAATATTCATTACTCTGCATTAAATCAATTATAAAAAGAAATGAGTGATAATAAAAATGACAAAAAGGAAATACGCGTATGGTGTGATGGGTGGTGAGTAAATTAAATTTAATTGTATTTTACTATTTGACAAAATTTGCGCCGTAGCTATTCGTCTATTTGTGGATATGCTTTCTTCTTAAATACGCAATCTTATGTTGTTATCTTTTAATGCTTTAATAATATACTAATTGGAATATAAAAACCGGTGGGTGAATTATGGGTTGTGCAGAATGCTCTTACTTAAATTAAATTAATTATAACCTTACATATTGAAAATTAACTGTTATTCACTGTATATTTCAGTTATGACATGGTCCATTTTGGTCATGCTAATTCTCTTAGACAAGCCAAAGCATTGGGCGATGTGCTGATTGTAGGTGTACACACTGATGAAGAAATTTCGAAGCACAAGGGCCCCCCAGTATTTACTCAAGAAGAGCGTTATAAGATGGTCCGTGCTATAAAATGGGTTGATCAGGTTGTAGAAGGAGCACCTTATGTCACAACCTTGGAAACCTTAGATAAATATCAGTGTGATTTTTGTGTGCATGGAGGTATGTTTATAGCCACTTATGTATTAGCTTTTATAATTGATAATTATGTATGTAAAAATTGGCTTAAGAGAATTGTAAAATGATACTTATTTTTTTTAAACTAAAATAATATATTCATGTTACATAGTAAAGCGATTTACGGTTGATAATAGCAAAACCTTGATCATTATCGTGACAAAATATTTTTTTTAGCTTAAGTTTTGTAAAAAAAATATTGCTATATAACACATTTTAAATTTCATGCAAAATTAATTTTTGATTAACTTGATTACTAGCATACTATGAGCAATTTGTTATGTAATGCTTACTTCACATATATAAAAAAAACAAATTGACTGATTTATATATCAGCGTAAAGCATTTGAGTCTAGAGACTTCAAAATATTGCACAGATTTATTATTGGATGTTGTAAAAGAGAAAAAACTTGCAAGAAGATTTTTTCTTCTATACAATTATTTAAAGAATAAACCAGTGCTTGACCACAATCCCATATGGATATAAGTTGTGGTTCATAGATGGTGCCCTAGTTTAGTAATTTGTCCTACTATTCACTTAACTTACAAAGGTGCTTCATAAAGGCTTTTTCTATTTTCAGATGACATAACAGTAACTGCAGATGGAATAGACACATATCATTTAGTAAAAGAAGCTGGTAGATACAGGTTAGGATTTAACATTTTTTGTTAAATGCTTAGTTATTAGGTTATGGCTTCACAGTAATATCTGTTTTATGTTTTAGGGAAGTTCAGAGAACAGCCGGTGTTTCTACAACAGATTTGGTTGGAAGAATGCTCCTTCTCACAAGGGAACATTTCAAGTAATAAAATCAAATTTATGTTTTCTTTCATAATTGTTTATTAAGAGATAGATTTTGGATTAGAATCAGACGTAGAATGTCAAATTTTTAAGCTGTTATTTAAAATTTATAAAATTTATTTACAGACCAGCAATGGCTCACCTTGCTTCCTTGTATGTGCCAAATTATTTTTATTTTATCATTTAAAATTTTATAGAAAGTAATTCATTATTTTTAACTTAATAATTTTGACAACAATTACAATTTGTTCATAGCACATGTTTTGAAAAAGTAAAAAAAAATATGATCAATAGTTTGGTTATCTATTCACATATTTATGTAAAAATCTATTTATAATTATTAGTTAATTTAGGTACTCTTTTATGATTGCTTGAGCTTAAATATTTGTATGCAACCAGATGAAACATAGTTTGTGTTGGCATGTTAATAGTATTTGAAGTTTAGAAACGTGATTTTGTAGAGTAATATTTGCCTTATAAGTTTGCAATAGTAATTGATAATTTTAATGTTGGAGAAAACTACAAAAAATCTATGAATTCAAAATTAATGGGAAATTTTATAAGTGATATTCATATTACAATTTGTATATATTGAAGAAAAAAAAACAAGATTTATCATAATTAGATTGTATCAGACTTAGCACTTAAGTAATATTATAATTTCCAGGAGAGGTGACAAAGAATATACAGTAGCGCTGGACCACTCCTCAAATCTTGGCACCGACTCAACCGCCAGGTCTCCTTATACTGGCTGTTCACAGTTCTTGCCAACAACCCAGAAGATTATACAATTCAGTAGCGGTCTTTCTCCCAAGCCCACAGACAAGGTAAACATCAGTCAGCATCGTCAGGGCATTATACACCCCAGAGGAGTTCAAATCCTACTTAAATTTTAAGAGTTACTAGGGTAGATTTATATTCAGTCACGCTGGCCCAGTATGGGTTAGTTGATTTTATAGATATCTTTGACTTTCTTCACTGGTATTGTGCACGTTACATAACAATGTTTCCTTTTAAGGTAAGAATGTCAGATAAATGTACATATGAAATTACTAAAATTAATTGTCCTTTAATAGACAGAGGAGGAAACATATTAAATATTTCCCTTACCTATATGTTTGATTTCTGAATGTGTATGTATAAATGTACAAAATTAATTATGCACATTTTATATTTTAATCTACAGGTGGTGTATGTTGCGGGTGCATTTGATCTCTTCCACGTCGGCCATCTTGATTTCCTGGAAGCCGCGAACGCACAAGGAGATTTCCTTATTGTAGGTCTGCACACAGACCTCGAAGTCAACCGCTACAAGGGATCCAACTACCCTATCATGAATTTACATGAACGTGTTCTGTCTGTGCTTGCTTGTAAGGTAAAATTGTTGTAAAAACTGTAATAATATTTATAAAACTTGAAAATTAATCATTTGATTGTATAATTATAATGTAATGTAAAACATTACAAATTTACGGATATACAAGCATAACAAATAGATAATTAATATTCATATATGGTAGACAAGATAAATATTTTATACAAACTTTATTCAGTTCCTAAAAAACTTATGTTACTATTAGTGTCATATTAAGGAAAGATGATGTAATACTTTTGGACTCTACTATAACAGAATCTATGGTGTCATATTCCAGTACGTCCATGAAGTAGTGATCGGAGCGCCATACAGTGTGACCGCTGAACTGATGGATCATTTCAAGGTGCAAGTGGTCTGCCATGGACTGACACCGATAGCCCCCGACGCCGACGGCTCGGACCCCTATACGGTTCCGAAACAACGAGGTTGTTTTAAGGTAAAAATATACACTGTTTTTAGCACTATTTTACTTTATAATTCTATAGTGCTTTTATATTGAATAGAACAAAAGTAATATTTGCATTATAGTAACTTTGTTCTATCAAGGTGTTAGACTACTGTAACTAGACTAAAAAAATTATTTCCATGGACTCGAGTAATTAGCTATTTCTAAGTCCATACGTTCGCAGAACAGGTAACCTCTTTAAATGTTTTAAAAATACCGTATTGACTCATTACCTGTCTGAGCTATATTTATTTCATTTTTGTAATTAACCAAGTATATATGTATTTAAATTAAAATAATATTCGTATTTTAGACGTTAAGTTCTGGCAACTCTATGACGACCGAGGACATCGTTCAAAGAATAATACGCCACCGGCTCGAATTCGAAGTCCGAAACACGCGCAAGGAGCAGAAAGAATTGTCGCTTATGAAATCCTTACAGAAAAATCATATAAAACAAAATGGCGATTGCCATGTTAAAAATGATTCTAGTTAATTAGAAAACAACTTAATGTCGACAAATTTCGTTACATTCACCTTAATATTCAATCAATTCGTATTACTGGTATAGTGAAATGTTAAATAATTAATATGTGACTAGATAATTATGCATATAATGTTTATAAATTTCCTCGTTTACCCGCCTATAAGTATATTTACAAGTTAGTTGCCTATACATTGTCAAATGTACACAAAATATGTTTTTATTTTATTTACTTTTGTAGTATGTGCCGTTTAGTCTTTATAATATTATATGTGTATAATATGATAATTTGCTAATAAAAAAATAATTTTTTCTAGTGAATCGTTAGGTTCGTTTGTAAAACGAGTTTGGTACACTTTTTTTTTATATATGGTTGCTGATGCTTGTTAAATTTGCAAATAGATGCCAGTGTTAGATTATAGTTTTATGTATTAGAGATGTAGAAATATCACTGTAGTTGAAATTTATAATTTTAATCTCTTATCAAAATATTTACTTCCAAAATGTTTACTTATTAAAACTTGTTATATTGTACAAAATTTTATGTATTTATTTAGCTCGATTTATATTGATGAATTTATTTTATGCCAACATACCAAATATTTTATTGTATAGGATGCCCAGTGCAAGTTTTTCTCGCCCCGGAACTCCACTGCAGTGATACTTGTATTAATACATTATTTATATTTCATTCTCTTTAAAAATATAGAGACTAATTTTTTTTTTAATCCAAGTTGCGTAAAATGAGCCGCTTTCTAAAATGTCTTACAATGACAGAGTGTGCTACGCGATCGAGGCAATGCAAAACTTGCACTGGACATTCAATTTATTTACATTGTCATTTTAACCTCTTAATAAATTATAAACATATTCTGAGTTTTAATTATAAATACATCTTTTCTTGTTCTATGAGAAGGTAATTTCACGGTATGTGTACCAGTGCCACAGTGAACCAAAGAGTTGCATATGAATTGCCTACCTACTTTTCACAGCAGAGAAGGACGTACATAAAAAGGATATTTCCCGCTAAATCTGTATCAGGACTTAAATTGTGTCCTCTGGTCCTAACTTAACAAACAAAACGCAGACTACTTTTGACTTTCCAGTAGGGTATTTCATTGGTCAAACTTACATATTTAGCTATAGATGTGCAACTTGCACCACTGTTATAGTACTTTATATATAAGCAAACCAGCATTATTGTGACTCATAAATGAGTACAAAAGGTTTAATATTTACAATAATATAACCACATTTATTTATCAATGTTCTATTTTAATTGAACCTTTTATATCGCTTGTTAAAAAAGCGCCCGTACGAATTGGGCTTACTGATGTAAAGAAAAAAAGCGACGAGTAAAAAAAAGTATGTTCAAGAATCGAAAAATGACGATGACAATGAAAACAATAAGTTTTTGAAAAAAAATCTTTTTGTGAATTATTGCAACATTTGTACTTCTAGTAACATTGCGTTGAATTGTGAAATGGTAACATCGATGCCGAAAATTCAAAATGGCAGGAAAATGTAGAGAATCTGTCTATCTGTCTATTTCTAATTTTAAAAGACGATAAATTACAGTGAGTGACGTGGTGTAACGGAAATTTTGTGATTATTGTAAAAAGACACGAACAATATTTTATTTCAATTATTATTTTGAACCGGCATCTTTAAAATATCAAAACAAAGGGTAAGTTTAACGTAGCCGCCCACTTCAATTTCAATCTGTTCTAATGAAATGAAATATTTATCTATTGCTGTAAAAATATATTACTTGAAATGTATGAGTCGAAAGCTGACCAGTCAAAAGTTTAATTGGTATTAATTTCTATTAATTTAATACAACATGTGTATACAAAGTTTTTGGTAATCAGACACTACGCCATACAAAGTTATTATTATCTTGTGTATCGTTAATTAAGGTTTCCAAAACCCCTGTTTCAAAATGTTTAATTAGTTTTAATGCGATTTATTATCTTATAAACTATTAATTTAGAAATTCCAATGGACTCATTTTTACATTTTACATATAAAACTTTAATGTTTCTATAAGTTTGAAATATTTTTATTCAATAAAATATGGATATTTGTCGTTAACATCGACATTTAATTTTGTATAATGTATTTATATTTTTAGTTAAATAAAGTTTAACATTACTTTTGTTGACTGGCAGATTAATCAATGCGTTATTATTTTCGAAATAAATTCTTGAAAAAATAATATTTGGTAAATAGTAAATTTTACTTTATAGCTGTTTCTAGAGCACACAATTTTAATTCTGAAAGTTTTTTCGCCAACAATAAAATATAAAGCATGATTCTTAACAACAAAAAAAATTGTTTGAACAAAGGAGTACACATGTGAATATTTTATCATTGCTAGTCATAAATAAGGACCACAACCACAGGTATTTGTAATTCTATGACTGCCGTGGAGTTCAAAATTAACCTGGCCTCTCATTTTGGGGTTGAACATTTTGAAAATGTTGTCATAACTGTAAAAAACGTTGTGGACATACTCATAGTCTCTCTTGTTCTTGTAATAATGGAAAAGGTTTCTTTGTTGTCTGTAGGCTGAATTTATTTTATAAGAGGGTACACAGAAATATTTATATTTTTATAATTTAAAGCTTATGTGTCTTGTAGTTTCTTATTTGAAAAAAAAAATGGAATTTATATAATATTTTTACAACAAATTTTATATAAGAATAGTTGAATGAAACATTCACCATTGGTAATATAACATGCTAATACAATATATAATACATTTGTAACACTATATCTGTTGGCTCTAAACTTACTGTACATCTATTTTTCATTTTACCATTTTTTTCTTAAAAAAATATTTCAATATACCTTTTACACTGGCAGGCATTTCCTGATTTTTCCCCTTTGCGAAACTGCACAACTTATGTTGTTTTTTTGTTATCAAATACTAAATACATCATCCTCATTATTGTTAGGTTTTGTTATCTGTTGCACTTTTTATTCTTCATTCCTTTTGACTATATGGAAAAAAAATCTATTTGTGTTTACATATGAAAAATATTTTTTTTGTCATTTTATGTGAACACTTTGTACTACTTTTTATATATTTTTAATTCCTAAAAGAAATAGTTTCTCCTTAAGAAGTAATCCTTTAAATATCATCAAATATCAAGTAATAATAAAAAAGCTAGCACTTTTTTTATATTTAAATAGATAGCATTTGCTGTTTTTTCATAATACAGCTTGTTTTACATTTAATTAGGTGTTACTTAGCAGGCTTTTCTTCTTCTTTTGATGCCATAACCTATTGAAGTTTAGCAACCATCATGGCAATTGGAACTTTGACCATTAGCATGCATAGGTTTTGCTCCAAAGATGTTCGTCCTTATAAACCTTGTATCCCCCTGTCTTGCATACTGTAAGCATCATTAAATATTATTTTATTGTTTTAGTACTGTCAATTTTGTTATTGTGATTTTTTTAAAAGGTTAGAGCTTTAGAGTATAAACTGCATACATGTTTATATTCATATTGTCTCATTAAAATTTGCACTAAGAAACGCAAATCAAATGTAAAAAAATGTTATTGTTTTTTTTTAAATCAATGAAATTGAAAGCTTTAACACTGTTGCTGTTGTTACTATCAGCTCTAGTTATTTATAATAAAGCAGATTGAAGGCTTTCATAACTGAACCTACAAGCATGGGACTCAAAATGACCCATCTTAATTTCGCGAAATCAATTAAAAGGCAGTTAGAGAGGGTGGTTACGATCGCTAGAGCATGAGGGATCAAGCTGGTTAGCGTAACAGCGCGAGATGCGCAGGCGCCGGGTGTCGCTGTGCCGCGGTGCAGTCGAGGCCGTGAGTCAGAGGCGCCAGAAATAGCCTGCAAATGGGCGCCGCCTACCGGCCGGGGCGGGCGGCGGCTCGACGGCTCAGTGGCAGCCGCGACGCCGCCGCCGCTACAGGAGCGGACGAGGTGGAGTGTTACGGCGACCAGCGCACTGACGCTCCAACACACTGAGGCTCGGGCGGCGCTGGCGCGGGATGCGCCGCCATGCCGGTACGACACCGCGGACTCGGCGACGAGCTCGCACCCCCGGAGCCCAAACGCTGCAGGCACTGCGACGGTACGGTACACGAACGACGCCTATACCTAACCGATGAGCCTCGATAATCACCTCACTTCAATGCCCCGGAAGCCTAACCGAGTGGAACTAACATAGCCGACGTTTCTAAATGAAATCACGTTATTACTTGACAGATTTCTGCTTGTCTCGATTCGACACTTCTTTCATCGGTTACTGTCATACGTCAGACACCACGTGTTTTGTTGACATCTTCTGAAATTTCCCTGTTTTTATGTTATCGTTTAACTATTTCGCCACTGTGTCTTTGGAAAACTTTCTTTTGACAACAGAATGTCTGATTTAACATGATTAAATTTTTGACATGGGTTACTTATTAATTTTTGCTTGAATACCCACTAGATAGATTTGTTGAGTGCCACATGCATATTGTATATGATGAGAAGATAAATATATCAATATTATAGACACAGAAGATTTTCAAAAAATGTTATAAGTTGTACGTAACATTTAAACAACTATATATGTTAAGCAAACATTTACAATTACTTAAAATTCAATTTCCTCAGTCTAAATGCTAGTCAAAATTAAAATTTGAAGTGGATTTTACAATAGTTTTAATGCTAACTGTTACTTTTAATTACCTCTTACGGTAATTCACATAACGGGGAATGTCTTACAAAATATGTTCGTACAAAAATTAAAGCAGAAACTAACTAATTTGACGGGCAGTCGAAATTCTACCTAATGGGCGTGTTTAACAGCAGGAAAATTATCTTTAGACTGTCCTTAGTCACTGGAGTGTGTTATATGTGTCACGGGGCGTCGGGAAAGGAAAGTACATATAAATAGTGGCTGGAACAGACGGCGGTGCTACGTCTTATGTAACGAAATGCTCGTAAACAAATGCAAGCCACGCAACAGGGGACAATGCTTTCGCGACCCATGTAAATAAGTAGTCCTTTCTGCTACCACTCACTCTTGATCTCTCTAATCAATCTATTGAAAATTCAATTGCGTTCTTCTTTAAGTAGCAGTATATTTTTGAGTATAGTTTTGATTGTTATGCCCAACACTTAAACTACATACAAATATTAAATACAACGCTTATGTTTCATCCTAACGCATTCACTCTCGCTAAATCAATAAGCGATGCAGTTTGATGGTTCTTATCTGTTATTGACATATTTGTAGGCCTATATTAAAGAATGCAACCAAATAAAAAGTTCTAAAGATCAACATTCCGTGTCCATCTGATCCGTTATAAACCAGAAAGCGGTAAAAATATTCGAGATAGACTGTAATTCTTGAAAACATTTGTTTACAAAGCAAAAAATACATAATCGGTGTTTTATTATTTATTTCTTAAAGTTTTCTCGTAACTCATTTTCTTTTATTACTAGAACTATATGTTCTGTGTAAGATTTCCACAACCACCATAAAATTGCCAGCGCCAAATGT